TAATGAATTTACAATGTACAGCCCCAAGGTTATCGATTCACTTGAAACCAGTAAGAGAGAGAGAGTGAGAGTGTTCCAATATTTAAAAGATCCCTGACAACAAAATTCACATGGATTAATTACTAATGGCAGCAATATTGGGAAGTAATATATATATCAACACTGACCACAGATAAATAATCCATTATTCTATTCAGGTTTGGTCTCTCTAACCACAAGCCAAAGCCAAGACAATCTTATTCATCCAACAAAATAAAATGGAAACCATATTATGAAATCAAAAATATTGCTGCATGAAAGTGCATTCTTCGAGACAAGTCAATCAGGTTGATTTCTATTCAACAAATGTTATTTAGCCTCACAAATGCTTAGAATGCATGATAATGGCATCACTGGTTTGTAAATTCAGAACTTAGCAATGGGAATTGTCCGTCCAGTCAACAAGCTCCTAGATAACTTGCCAAATGATGCAAACTCAAAGAAACGAGAGAATAAGAAAAGTGAGGAATGTCACCCTATTACAGTCAAAGCAGCATTTACAAGAGCATAGAATTATTTTAGGGCAACTATAGACCCATATGAATAGGGAAATAGCATGGCTGTAGTGAGCCATCAGTGCCATGTCAGGAAATGGTTCCACCTACCATGTTATTTATTCTACTCTCGCACCACAAGTGTCCAACCCATCGATGGGATATTGATGTCAGATAACTCTGACCAAATTTTTTCCATGATGTATGTCATAGAAATTGGAACCAGTATTGCAAACTTCCCGACAAGTTTCATATAATGTTTCTCAAAACAGATGTTCTTTAAATAGTATGCTCCACAAAAACAAATTTCAGCCTTCTGATTGGAAAAGCTAGTCAAGAACCTTCTCTCTCTATAAAGCCGTAAGGCTTTGACTTTCTCTCCTTTTTTCTTTCTTTTTTTCAATCCTGAAAATTTCCATCGAGATCTCAGTTAAAAATTTCAAGAGAGACCCAGGGCTCAGATATTTTGGCTTTCAAGAGAGGGAGGAGGAAGAACACATTGGGGTGGCTAATAGGGGAAGGGGTACTTCAGAGGGAGACGGGGTAATTTTGTAAGTAAGTGAGAAAACTTTCTTATATTAGTGAGGCATATCACAAACTATGATGACAGTTCTAGAAAATTTGGAAGTAAGGTGCCAATTTTAAATATATCAGGAACACTATTTTTCTCCCTTGAGGCATCCCCCTAGAGAAATTAAACGGGGGCTCATTTAAGCACCCATTTTTAATGAACACAACCATGACTCACCAGTATATTCACTCAGATAGAGGGAAGTGCACAGAATATGTCATGCCACATAGGTGGATGCAGTCACAAGAAAAATGGTTGTAAAACACAAAAAAAAAAAAAAATCACATGCAAGTGGAATGGCTATGCAATATCATCTGCAAATCCACAGTTCCACACCACAGATTTCGTGTTCTACATGTGTGAGGGCAAAGGTAACCATGACAGATATTTTCCATAAGAGATCCAATAACAAAAATGTCCCACAGATGACAATATGTTCCCCAAAATATCATTCTTTCCTTGGGTGACTTAATACAATACGATTAAAGAAGGCTAGGTTAGCTTGTATCAACTTTTTGGGACAAACTTGAGGGTTCAAACCTTTGACCTCCCTCACCCAAGCTGACATATACTTGGGTGACTTATACAATAAGTAACTGCATATAAATTTTACATGTAGGTATAGCTATCACCAAGTAGTTGTTCCCTTTTTTCTCACTTTTCCTTTTAACTTTTTCCCCCTCTTTTCTCTTTAACGTTTCCCATTATTCGCCAGAGTTCTTTTTAGTGGATGTATCAAACAGCAGTTGGGTAGAAAAATGAGTTTCTGGTGAACTTTGAAATGACAAGACACATTGCAGAAATAACCTAATAAGTTTTACTGGTATTCATTGGTATTTCACAATGATCAAAGAAGGTTTATAGCTTTCCAGTTTCTAAAATCAGAATCAAAATTACCTTGATGGTATCATAGTGATTCCATCCAACCTCTGATGAGAGGCGTCCAAGCAAGCAATACTTGTGCCCAGGCTGAAGCCTCAAAACCCTGTATCAAGGACACACAGAAGATCAGTAGAAACAAAGAGGTGTAGTTATTGAGCCTAAGCATTGTGAGAGACAATAAATCCTTTAATAGGAATAAAAAATATAAGGTTCTTAAGGAAACTTACTTCAAAGCATCTGGGATGACCATCCTTTTCTTCTTATCATAAGGTGGGGGGACGCCCTCATACACCTTCAGCCTGGAGAGAGCAGCAGCCCCTCGCTTGGTCTTGTGAGGAATCATCCTGAAAACAACAAAAACTAACTCAATAGAAAGGTCATAAAATGGATGAAGTTATTGTTAAGATAGAGTTGGAGAGAGAGAGAGAATAAATAACGCCGTACCCTCGGATGGTTCGCCAAAGGATCTTCGAAGGAGCCCGAAAGTGAATGGGACCATGAGAGGGCTTAGTGTTCATGCGTTTTCTAAGGAACCTTAGGTATTTCATTTTTTGGCGGACAAGACCACCAGAAAGGCAGATTTCTTCACATCTCACAACTACAACTTTCTGCCCATTAAGCAGCTCCTTGGCCAATATAGATGCCAATCGCCCCAGCATGTGGTGCCTTGCATCCACCACAACAACCCTAGCACAAATCCCGGAACCTGAAACCATTGCTCCTTCTCTTCTTGTTCTCTCTTTTTATATCTGTAAAATTAACTGCACTGTGCATTTATTCAGATATATCAGGTTAGTGGATTTCTCCCCAATCTCTTAGGTCAGCATTAACAATAAATGGTTGTTAACAAATTACGGAGGAGAAGACATTAAATTTGCAAAATAAACACAAAAAAGCAATTGGTGCAACTAAACAAGAGTGTTGCATCCTTTTATATAGCAACCCACTAAAGGGGACTTACCCCAGAAGAAACCCACTAAAGGGGGTACCAAAATTAACCCATTAAAAATATAAAAAATAAATCCAAAGGATGAGGGAAATAAAAAAAATAAAAAAAAAAGCCCTTTATCATAACTATAGGTTGATGATGGGCTTTTGAAATAGTTTATGGAAACCTGGGATAATGAGCCTTGGAGAATTCACTTACAGCATTAAAGATTGAATAAAAACTGAAGCTAGAAACGAAATGGAAGAATAAGCAAAATTTACAATGTGGTGCCTTCAAAATCCAGAGATATCATATCCTAAATTGTGAATAATAAATGTTGATAAATACATTAAATTGCCACAGAACAAGGAAGGAAAATCAACTCTTGGTGAACCACTTGATCTACAATTGAGGCAGAAACAGAACATATAAAAGAACGGTTATCTTTTTCTAAATCATTTAAGAGATGCAAACTGGCGTTCATACCAGGTGAATTAAATATATACATTTTTATTGATTCAATATAAATATGAAATAAATTTATATTCAGCATGCATTAGGTTCATCATTATATGCCCAGTTATAATATGCAAATGCACATATTTATGTAGAACTAGCTGACCCCAGATTATTGGTATAAGACTTGGACGATGATGATTATCATGATGATTTATTTATGTAGAACTAGCGTTGGATGAGTACATGTACGTTAACAGATAGATGCAACAGCAACAATAGATAGTTAGATACAAAGACATACATACCAGGCCTGTGCTACATTCATATATGGGCAACCAATTAAATAATGTGCTTATTAGAAAATCAATGTAACATTTTACCAAATAAAATTAAAAATGAAAAGAAGCACCATAATCGCTCTCAAATACTACTTAACATCGTAAGAAAACTAAAAAACAGGGTAAAACAGTATAAAAGAGACCCATGAAAATGGCTCTCTCTTTCCTGATGATTTCACATGCATTATCATAAATGGGTATGAAGAAATGGAGGAAGATGACTCATGGAAGGAAAATTAATCAGAAAACGCCTGATATATGGAATAGAGAACCAGAAATATGGGAAATTTTACTAAATGCATCAACAATAAACCAGGAAGAAAATGCCCAAAACAACTAAAACAAAGGGCGCAAACTAAACGCTACATAGGTAAAAAATCAAGTCTCATTGCAGCAAAAAATAAGTAGAATGGAAATTACAAATTATTGACGTTTCTCCAGTATCATCGAGTTAAAATAACTAAATTAAAAAATAGTTAATTATAGAAAATTCGTCAACCGTGAGAGAAGATTAATATAGGGTGCAGATTTAAACATACCTTCTCCGCTTTCGAGCCGATAAATGGTTAGCGAGAGAAGCAAGAATGAGGAGCACAAGTCTTTAGTAAGAGAGACCGAGAGAGAGTTAGGGTTTTCTTTGGGTAGTCCGGGTCAGGGTTTAGGTCAACCCAAGGACATACTATGATCCATATGGTTATGCAAAACCCCTTGCTCATCAGATTTATCACCGTTTAATAAATAGATAGACGGTAATAATGGAAAAGTTAGTCCTTTCAAACATGTCATTGAATGTCGGTCCGCTTTCCACCCGACGTCACATCAACCAAGATGACAACACTTTTTTATTTTTATTTAGAGAGTATAGGTTTGATACTATTTTAAAAAAATTATATGAGGTTGACACCTCAAAATATAGAATTAAGATGAACCTCTAAAATTCTTCCAAAAATATTCTTTTGATGTTAGAAAATATTTAATTGACCATACTGACAACAAAATGTATAGATATGGAGAAAAAATCTTTAAAATAGTACATCTTGCAACCCATTATCTACACTATTTATTTTCAAGATTTTTTGCATAGATAGATCTACTTGATTTGGACCATTTTTTAAGTTTGAAATTTTATAATTATAGATAAAAATAAATTCTCACACTATCCTATGAATTTTGGATATCCAACTTGCATCCCTTCACAAAGTTTGGAGGTACACCTTATTTTCCATTGTTTAAGATTGCAACCTTATGCAAACCACACCTAATTTAAAAAAGACAAAACAATTTCTTAGATCATCCTAAAGGGCATATGAAATTTATATCGTCCAACAAAAATGGATGGTATTACCTCTCGTAGGTGAAAACCTAGCAAATTAATCTAACGACCAACTCTGAAAAAAGTAATTTGTTATAAGATTATATACTATAAGGCCATTTATTTTTATTATAAGGATATCACAATGATTCCTAGTAATTAATGTTAAATTGGATGGATTAAAATGTTTCACAAAGTTTGAAATATTTTTCCTTTTTAACTTTGAGTCCTATCAATACTATTACAACTGTCCGATTTGAAATCGTCGGACAAAAGTAATTGTACCCTCCTTGTATGAAAAGTAATATACTTTTCAATTTGTTATAAACTTCGTGTTTGCCTTGAAAATTGTTGAAACCCTCCACATTTTGGATAGCCACGATGTTTTCAAAATTAAAATCCAGCCTTTTTTTCTCAAAATAATTTTTAGATAATTACATGGTGTATCAATACAAGGTGAGGTTTTGTATGAGGTGTCTAGACTATATAAATAAGCTGTACCTTTAAAATTTGTCCGAATGTGTAGTTATGGTGTCAAAAACTTTATAATAGCTTGAAAAACCATATTCATATTCAACCCTAGTCATGAAATTTAAAAGTCTGAACACAATACAAATTGGGTAGATCTATAAACACTTTGGGTAGATCTATAAACACTTAAAAATAGACGGTTCAAATAATTTGTTACAAAATCCACTATTTTTTGGAACTTAAAAATTTTTTTTTCTTAATTTCCAAATATATCAAGATTGAGATGTTCAATTAGAATGCTTTCTAACTTTGAAACACTCTTTTCTACTGGATTTTTAAGGTACAACTTACAATGTTGCAACCTCAATAAAATTTCTATTTAAAAACCATCCCAATTAGGACTTTTGCTAGGCCAATAAGGGTGAGGCCTTTAAAATTTTATTTAACGCATTCAAGCATAGCTAAATAAGGTGGGTTATGCTAGATAGACAACCAGCATAAAACTTAGACACGTCTTATCATGAATCTTGAATTTATGTTTCTTGATAGAGAATAATGGATGAACATAATTCATGCAACAAGCTGCAAATAATTGAGATAAAGCTTGAATGATAATTATAATGATGAATTAGATATTTTGCCCAAATAAGTAAATATGCTTATACACGCTCCCACATTTTATATTTGAAAATTTTGCTCCCACATTTTATATTTGAAAAATTCTTACTCTTGCTGCAGCATTTCCCGTAAAACTCTTCGTAAAGTATACTTAAGACCTAAAATTTTAGTGACAAAACTCCTCACTTCGAGTCTATGAACGCAAAATATTTTTCCGAAAATATTAATTGATGTTTGAGAACCAGATAAGTTTTAAATCCAAAAGTTTCTTCCAGCAAGGGCAGACTATATACGCTAATAAGGGCCCCCAAAATCACTGAAATTGCGAAAAAAAATGAGACAGGGCTAATTTATTTTGTTGTAAATTTGGAAAACCTATGTAGTAAAGTGGCTCTCTCCCCATTAGATTCTTTCTGGAGAGAATTATAGAGTTGAAGTAGGCAAGTAGAGAGAGTTGGGACCGGCAGAGGATAGGAATACAGCAGGAGCGAGAAAGAGTTCCGATACCGGAGTAGAGAGTGTAAATCGATAAAGGAACAATGAAGTCCCCCATCACATCATAATATAACACCAGGCATAGAAGAGAAATAACTCATACAGTATAAAATACAGAGGAACCACTATTGGCCTCATTTATGTGGAAGGAAATAAACAATAGGAGACAAGAAAATGTTTGCCAATGCCATAAAATCCTCTCACTCATTGCAGCTTGGATCCTCAGAAGCACCTCCTTCTGCAAAAATAAAAAGCAAGTAATAAACTCACTTTCATCAGAAAAGCAAAGACAGAAGTAAAACGATGGGAAACTGCTACATGTCAAAAACGAAATTGTTATCTTTGACAAAAAAAACTGCAAATTACCTTCGCCATCAGCACGGGCATAAGCTGATCGCCTCGAACGAACCTGCTGGTGTGGGGTAGGCTGGAGAGAGAGAGAGTGTGTCAATAATACTGCCATTTCCAAGGATTGACAAGACAAAAAAAACCATACTGCAACCATAGCAGTGATCAAGAAGAGGAAGACAAGGTGTTAGCAGGCTATTACAAACCATGTTTTGCAATTTACTGGCAGAAAAGTCCAACTTATCCTCAGATCCAAATTGAAAAGAACATAGAATCTATATGTGTACAAGCGGACCGATTCTAACGAGTAATGGGTGAGTCCAACTGAGACTGGGCAGCAGCCTGCTGACTTCGGAAGAAAACAGTGGGAGCCGGCTGAGACTCGTCAGTTTCCCCACTTTTTTTGTTTTTTTGTTAGTTTTTTAAGACTAGGCCGAGTCTCATTCAGACTCTCTAAAGTTGCCTGATTTGTGCTTGGAACCCTAGCAAGTCTCAACCCAAGTCCATGCTTTTCAACACTGGTTCTAACTGAAATTGTACAATACCATGACAGATCATATTGCTCCATCAACAAATTATTAGTATAACATATTTTTTGAAACTGTTAACATTTTTATTAGTATAACATATTAGCACTATATTCGTGAGTATGATTATGCAATGCAAGTTTATGCAGTGAAATCCATGACTAACATGACAACTGATTATCCAATCTCAAATGGGCCATGATTTAAGCCATAGTTGCAAAAATGAAACAAATAACCTATTCTATCAATCAGCAAGTTCTTACCTGTTCCGAAACATTTGCATTTGAATCTTTTTTGTTTTTGAGAAAACATTTGCATTTGATCTTTTATAATGACAGAATGACAAATTTGAGTGTTCCGAGTCATTTTGAATCAAAATAATATTATGGATGTGTCCAGTAACAACATGAAGATGTCAGATATTATGCCATCATAAGAGTTGTTTCTTCAAGTCCTGATCCTCTGTATTTCATATTTAGAACAATTGCACAATTTATTACACATCATAAACAACAAAAAAAGGAATACCAGGCTAAGAAAATATGATGCTTCGAAGAGAGGCATACAAGGTTATTGTACATCAATCATTCCAAAGAAAGTTAAACACCAAAGTATGCTACAATGAACACTGGGCTCAAAAGAGATGATCACTGCATTTTGATGGCAACATGTTTGTATTTCCAAATGCACCAATGGCAATATCTTGAATGATATAAGAAACAACATGAAGACCTGAAAAACTAAATAAACTCTAAAAAAATGGCAGCTTGTATCATTGTAAACCAAACTACCGATCATGGAAGATGATCACATGCTCAAACCCTTCGAAGTTAGAAAGGTAGTCATAAACAAAATATGTTGGACTGCTTGTTAGCATATTCTAAGGATTAGCTTTCTCCTTTCTTTATTTTTAGCTATTTCTTAATTTTTTTTGTTTATTCCTTAGTTTAATTTAAAATTCATAGCTTTTTACGATCTAGTAGGTGAGATTTACAGCTAACGCTACCAGTCGATCCAAAGAAAGGTCAGATCTATCAAGATCTGTACCGGTTTTGGATCTATAATTTGCGCGGCCCCACTTTTCTGTCGATTCACCAATTTTTAACTTGTTTCACATGAATTTGAGTTCATTTCACATCAGAGATATGTGCAGATATGCGCATAAACAAAACCAAAAAAGATGAAAAAGTGGTTGAGTCTAAATGGGCCAGAGTAGATAGTAAAATCCGGTCCTCGAAGCTCAAACATATATTTAAACCATAGTAAAACTAGCATAACACAAATTATGCCTCCATGACTAACAATCAACGAACTACAACCTCAAAAAAAGAAAAAGGAAAAAAGAAAAAGGTGAATTTCTAAACACAGATTCCAGATTTCTCAAATATTGAGTACCAAAGTTATCATTCTGGTTCTATCATGTCTAGCAAAGTGACATAGATTTACATCTCTAAAATCTGGATGGTGTAAAGCATTATGGAAAGGATCATTCAGTTTATCTTGAAATTCAAAGAGAAAAAGTGCAACACTAATCTGGTGGACTCAGATAACTAAGCAAAGAAACTGGTTTCAATATCCCTACCTGAAGTTTAGGCCGAAGAGCCTCCAGTGGACCTTTTGGCTTCTGGCCTGCAGGTGCACCTTGCTGTCATGCATTGAAAAGAAAGAAAAACAATAATCAGATACTCCCTTTTTTTTTCAATCCGCTGCTTCTAGGCAACTGCTTTCACTTAATAGCGGCATAAACTATCAACATTTAAGGAATACGACCTTTCCAAGTGCCCAATCAGCAGAATCAAAGAAAGCACGTTCATGGTCCTAAAGGAAAGGAACAAGCTTTTAGGCACATATACTGAGCCAAATACTGGGCTCTGAAAGAACAGAAATCACTCCAACAGAAAAAAATGGGAAGCAATTACCTTGGAAATGAGAGGAGGCTTTTTTGGTATGATTCCTCCATATTTTTTCTTAATCACTTCCTCCTGAATAAGATAGAGGCTTTTAGGTACTTAGAAATCACATAATTGAGAACACTATGTGCTCGAAAGCCAAGAATAAACAGCTAATCACATGCCTCTTTATTGTAATTGATCAGGTAATGACATGATTCCTCATTGTGCTTTCATGACGCTCACATAAGAAAGTAGATAAAATGATTTCAATAGGAATCCTACTGAAACTCGATGTCCATTGAAGTGAAGTAGTACTAATTTCTCGAGGTATCTAGATTCATAGAAATCCTAGACTTTAGAAAAATGATTTCTAATGAAATTCTAATTCCTTAAGTATAATGAATCTAAGATAATTAAGTTTATGGAAGGTATGGATTATAATGCACATACCACGCTTTATAAGGTTTAGAGACATAGCTTTTTCTCAATGAAAATAAGTTAGAGAATGAAGACTACCTCTGCTTGGCAAGATGGCATGTTAGCACTCTCTTCCTCATTTCCTTTACCATTTTTATCTAAAGTGTCTGTATCTTCCTCCGAGAAATCTTCATCCATATGCCCTTCAACAGTGTTCTCCTTCTCTTTGGCATCATCCATTTTCATGTCTGACATATTGAGACTTGGATACGGTGAACATGTGAAACAGCAAAAGTTTAATTTTTTGTGCAGTACAAAGTAACTTACTACATATTAGTTAGTGGAGAAGTAAAATGTTATACTGGGGTGTGTGTGTACACGAAGAAAGATAGTCAATATGGACACCCATTTAACCAAACAGAATCCAGCAAAAATTAATTACAGCAAAAGCCTTTCCCATCTGGTACAAAATCTACAAACAGTTATACACGATCTAAACATTTCATATAGTGGCTCCCAGCACCATGAAAAATTTTGGTTCCGACTAGGCTAACCCCAGGTATAGGGACAGCCATCATCCTGGTAATTGCATGGATAAGAGATAATAGGCAAAAGCTCCTTCAGGCTGCAAAGAAATGACTAGGCAGATATGGCAAATAAGGAGGAGTAAAGAGTAAATTTGGCATGTCGAGATTACAACCATGCGAAGACCCTAAACACGGTCATGTCCCAAGATGAAAGGCGCATAAAACAGTCCATGGCTATGGCATTGGCATCCCATCCAGACTATACCATTAATATTTTCTGTTTCCTTCTTTTCTCTGAATGACTACACATTCTTGATTAGTGGTAGCATGTGTTACCTAAGCAAACCAAGCCTGAGCTAGTAAAGCAATGTCATTAGTTATACAAAAATGAGAAAATATAAACAGAGCTGTCCCCCAATTTATCAACAACTCAAACCCACCATTATTTGCTCTTAATATAATAATAACATGAGATTAAAATGGAAATCCTTGCATAAGGATGATTAAATACATTGTAGAGAGATTCAAGTTACTGTTATCCCACTGGATATGTCCTTCCAACAAGTGCATATGAAAGAGAATTGGTAGTTAATGGTGCTTCATGTAGGAATACAGTCCCTTCATCAAAGTCCAGTGTGCCGGACTTCGGTCTTTGATTAATATCACTTATGCTAAAACCAAGCAGATTGAACATATCTCATACTTAAAAAGCAAAGTACATGATCAAATCATATGTTTCCACTTCAAGTTTTCTTCCGTTTTTTGCGACTTTTGATGCCGGTGAAAGGCATATAGCCAGTTGGAAGTTTTTTTCATGTATTTCAAGGGCATAGAGCAATCCCCATGAGGGTAGAGGTGGCTTTAAAGCGGAGAATTCAATGTATGAATGGTAAATAAATGGTATGTAGAGACTAGAGACCTCCATTTCCTTCTTCCCTACAACTTCATAGGACAACTAAAGCATCTTCCTAGGAGAAGAGGACAAATTAGATAGCGAGAGGCAAATCGGCCGAATCGGCTGGTACAAGTAGCCCCGCCGATTTGGGTGCCTCTATATTTTCGTTAAGAGTTTGAAAATTGGAAGATTTGGTTCTAGCAGTCGAATCATTTTGAGCTCAGTGAAGGAAATTAGGGCTGTAATGGATCATATGTCATCCTTAGGTTCGATGGGCCATTGTCATGGCTTTGCTGATTTCAAATAAAAGGTTGACTCCAAACTAGACAAGCACTGAAAATCTAGAGTTCAAGATCAATGCAATCTATGTACATAAGGAACCGTTCGTAACAAAAATAGGATAGAGATCTATGCTTAAACCAAGGCAAAAAAAAAGAGATTGCACAGAGGAAATGTTCTTCAAATGATTTCAGAACCCAAATTCCCAAACTGCACAAATCTTTTATCACTGTAACCCAAATTAGAATGGATTTCAGATCTCTACAGGCACCAAAATTTCAAAATAAGAAAAATAAAAATAAATTATAGAAGCAGTCAAAAAAACCGTGAGAGAATTAAGAAAGAGTGCAGATTTCACATACTTTCTTCGCCTCTGAGCCGAGGAATGGCAAAGTGGGTTAGTGAGAGAAAGCAAGGACTAATTCATCCGACACTGAGCCATAGGATTTAAGAGAGAGATCTACAATAGGATTTAAGAGAGAGAGGAGAGAAAGAGAGATTAGGATTTAAGAGAGAAAGATCTGGGTTAGGATTTAAGACAACTCTGTGGTCATTAGCTTTATCACCGCTCAGTTGATAGATCGGACTGTGAGATATGAAAAATAAGTTCCACCAAACATGCGTAGATTGAACGTCATGCTCCCCCTCTGTCGCTGGCTGACCAAGCAACCGTACCGCGGGTCCATTTATTGTCATAATTGGATCTTAGTAAACTTTGTCTCGGTGGATATTCTCCCGCGGGGGCGTAAATCATACAATCTGTCCCGTGAGACCATATTATGCTAGTATCAATATCTGATTATATGGTCGCGCAAGACTATAAGTAGTCACCTCAGTCAATTAAAAGGTTTGAATTTTGAAACTCTTTGCGGAATCATTGGGGGTTCAAAATGATGACAAATTGTATTTTAGGGTTCGGTTTTCAAGAACGCACGTCCTTGTAAAAGCTTCAAAAAGTTTTTGAACTGGCCGTTGGGAACCCTAATTAATTAAAGGCACTTTTATGGTCTTACAAGCAGAGAGAGTCCTCAACATAATGATAGACTAACCTTGGTCAGAAATAATAAGATATTGTTCTTGGTCGGAAATAAGTTTATGGAAAAAGTTTATCCAAGGATGCTACCTTATAATGTAGAATTACGGATTCCCCTCAAAAATCCATTGGGAAAATGTAGTTTTAATGTTGAAAAACCCTTTGATTGATCATCTCGACATCGAGATGTGACTATGAACAATAAAAAGATTTTAAATCTAAAAAATAGTGCATTTTACAACATATTATCTACACCGTCCATTTTCAAGATTTTCATATGTTTATAGATCTACTTGATTTTAACCTTTTTAAAATTTTAAAATTTATAATTAGATATAAAAATAGATTCCGATATAATCCTAATAACATTTTACATCAAAATTATAGACCATGATAAAATTTGAAAGGCACCGTACCTCTGCACCTACGGAGACGTCCGCATGCCAATTGCACCCGAAGTTTATATAGAGCCTAGCTCTAAAACAATCAAATTAGAGTCTACCTCAAAAATTTCACTAGAAGATGTTTTGATATCCAAATATCATCAAATTGATCATCTTGACATCAATATGCATGGACATGAGATGGAAGTCAAGTTTTGGAAATAGTGCATCTTGTAACGCATTTTTTTACTGTCAATTTTAATATTTTGAAGTTTTTATATATCTACTCGATCCACGCTATTTCTGAAATTTAAAATTTCATAATTAAAAATAAAAATATATTTTAAAGCTATTACAAAAAAATTCAATATTAAAACCATATTTCTTTACACTACTTGGAGGTGGGCTCAAATTTGATTGTTTAGAGCCTCGGCTCTATACAACAGCACCTAACAAAAAAAAACAAGAGATTGTATACTATTCCTCTTTGGAAAAAGTTTATATGTGTGAGGCTCTAAACAATAAAATTAGGGTGCACCTCAAAAATTTCACTAGAAGAGATTATTTTGATGCTCAAATATCCTCAAATTGATCATCTCGATCTCAAGGTGCATGGACATAATAAAAAAATGGATTTCAAGCTTTTGAAATGGTACATCTTATAGTGCATTTTTTTTATTGTAAATTTTCAAGGTTTTCATAAATATGTTAGATCTATACTATTTTGTAAGCTTTAAATTTTATAATTAGAGATGAAATTATATTTTAAGGCTATCACAAATATTTCCAATATTGAAACCACATTTTTCGACACTATTTGAAGATTGCACCCTTCTTCTCTTATGCATGGAGGTCATGATCATTTTTGTCTCTTAAATTATAAAATTGGTGGTTATAAGAGTATCATTGAATAGATACAAAGTTCAAAAAAGAAGAATAATAAGTTTTTGGATTTCGTGACTCACCTCAAGCCATTCAATTTGACATCTAATGATTGTGACATCTATGTATAAAAAATAAATGGCCTCTTTACTGACAATCCTTACAAAGAGATCATTTATCTTGTGTACATTGAGGTCACAATCATTATTGCCCTTTAAATTTTGAAAGGATGAGGTTTCTATAAGGCCTAGGCTTTATGAAAACAAAACAAAACATCATCTCATATCATCATCCAGAAGAAATCTCTATGATATCTAAAATCAATTTCAACATGACACTAAATTTTGAAACTAAAAAAATAACACAGATCTTGTAAATCTATGAATACTTCTTTTAAAAGCAAAGTAAACGGTCTAGATAAAAAAGAAAAAGAAAAAAGGGTAAATACAATCTAGATAATTTGTTACAATCTACGTTATTTTTAGAGCTTAAAATATTTTTTTTCTACAACCATAATGTTCAAGGCGAGAATATCAATATAAAGGTTGTTAATACTTAACTTGCAATTTTTGATGAGTTATGAGGTGAGGATTTATTTATTTTGGTAGGGTTGCAGTTCTATCAGCCCATTTTCTGTTTTAAAATGAGTGGTTGTAAGAAGGTTATTGAACATACACAAAGTTAAAAAAAAAAATTATCATACTTTTATGATTCACTCCAAACTATCTGTATTCACTCCAAAGTCCAAACTATCTAATTTGACATCTCATGAGGGACAATAATCGTAACTACTGTGTATAAAAGGTAAAGATAAATAATCTACTTATAGACAAACCATTTTTTAAAGTTTTTCCAATATAAGTGAGTGAGGAGGATTCGAACCCAAGACGTAGTGTTAAAATCTTCAACAACTTAACCGCTCGACGAACTGTCCAAATCCTTCTCCCTCTATATTCTCGCGCTCTCCACTTTATCCGTTCCATCCTCTCCGGCGCAGAGAGTGAAGGAGAGGTTCATTCTAGAGAGAGAAGGAGAAACTCTAGAGAGAGAGATTATGGTGACCTTGGTCATGAACTCTGCAACTCTTCTGCCATTGTGCTCCCTATCCTTATCACCATTAAAATCACCTACAATTACGAAAACCCATGTTTCTCTCTCTACCCAGGCTCCTCACTCTAGGCCCCTCGCCATGGCCATGACTGGAAAGAGTACATGGGAAGCTCCTGGCTTCGACCCAAAGGCTGGCGTTCCCATATACAAGCCCAAGTCGTATGAGGTTCTCGTGTCTGATGCTGCCAATTCTCTGGCTTATGCTCTCGATGATGGGAAAAATCGCCTTGAAATCGACTTCCCGTGAGTGTTTTTTGGGTTTATTCTATGTTTTCATGATAATGGATTGTTAGATTTTCCAAATTCCTTGTTAATTTTCAGCTCCACTCTTGAATTGTGTTATCAGGCCATTGCCCAGCAGCATTTCCTCATATAAGGTACTCTTTTCTGCTCTGCAATTTTGCAAAAGATTCTATCTCAAATTTTAAGCGAAAGTGCTCTATTTTTCATAAGGAAAACAAGTTTTATGCTATTCTTAACAGTCCGAAATAACTCGGTGGAAGGCAATGCTTATCCTAGTAGATAATTCTTACCCAAGTAAATACATCTTGCTTGCTTGCTTTTAATCAATGGTTGCTAATTAAAAGAAAAAAAAGGTTTGTGGTGATATAATGTTTCTCAATAGGGTGATTATTTCAACCTGTTGATCAATTGAAGGGATCTTCAGATGAATTCATCGACGCCAATATCCAGCTTTCGTTGGCTGTAGTTAGGAAGCTCAATGAAATGAAGGGAACCAGGGCTTGCATTGTAAGTAATTATATATTTCAAGTTATTATATATTTTAACCTAGACTCTTTAAGCTTTTGAAGTTCCATAATTTGAACTATCTCTTGCTTTTTGCCTGTTATTAAGTTTTCTCTTTATATGTTCTGATCTATGTAGGTTTTCCCTGACAAACCAGAAAAGCGTCGGGCTTCTCAGCTCTTCAAAACAGCTCTTGAGACAGTATGAAACTATTTTTTCTCACTTATTGGTTAATATACTTCTACAATCTACACACATGTAGTGTGCAAGGTAGAGCTTATGGCCTCAAGGGTGTTCTGTTTTTTTTTCTTGAGAGGGAGATTGGTGAAAGGTTTCTCCGCTCGGGTGCACCATTCTTAATTGTTCCCATGCTCTTTGACAACGCTTCAGACGTGGAATTTATTTTTTTCCAGGTGAATGGTGTGACTATTGGTAGTTTGGACGACGTACCAAGTGGCCCAGTGTCAACTTTCTTCAAATCCATAAGAAATACATTGGATTTTGATTTTGCCGCGGATGAAGAAGGTGACTACAAGTTGGTTGGGATGCTCAGACTGTCCTTTTGTGATACAAGAACAAGGATTTTTTATTCCTGTATTGTTCTTGTGCCATTATGATGCATACGATCTGCATTTTTATTAAAAAAAGTATGCATACATCATAGGACCATTCTTGGTTGTTTTAATATTCTGTTTGCTTGAGAAATAATCTGCTTGAAAAATAATCTGATTACATAAATTAAATCAATTCTAGTAATATCTGTAGGACTGTTGCATTTCGTAGAAGTTACAAATTTGGTATGTCGCCCCATGTCCATGATTTGAAATTTCAAATCTCGTTTGCTCAGTTGTAGAGTGCCCATACCAGGTGTGTTACCATAAGTTACCTTTCTCATTGCTGGAGGAATGCTATTCATTTCCTGTGTAACATTCTAATTATGCAATACAACATTATAACTCATTGTTAAAAAGAAAGAGCTAAGTATATTAGATAGTTAATAGTGGTATGTGGTGGCTCTTAGATACTGGATGGATCTAATTTCTAGTGGATAGTTTAGCTTGGTTTGGCCAAAGGAGGAGCCCTGGACCTTGCTCCTGTACATCAGGTGTGTATATCTATATGTGATAACAACTCTTGTTTTTGTCCTATCCCTTTGAGCAAGAAGTTGGGATATTTATAGCTGAGGATCATTTCATTGAATACTCTGTAGACTAGGAAACCTTATGATGAAACCTTTACCAATACTAAATATTGTGCACAAGGATCTGTCACCAAGAAACTAAAGTTGATTAACAAGGTGAATATTGTGTCTTATTGATTCTTTGTCATTGCAACTATATACCACATGAGGAGTTGCTACCCTCAAGGCATGTACATAATATGATTAAGATTAGTGAAGCAAGGATGTTCCGTGTCACACCCCCTTGTGATATGTTGGGTAAATGTTGTTGTTAAGATCTCTTATGTAAACTAAGTGTTGGTGGGTGATTATCTATCTCAATGTATACTTGAAGTATCTTTTTCTAGTCATATTCATGATAGGTGGCTTTTCACAAGATTTATTGTCAACAGTGTTTTGCCCAAAAATTGAACCTCTCATGCATAGATTTCTTTCCAAGATGCCAAGTTGGCATGCCATTTCTTTGTCAATAATATATTTGCCTGTTGCTTTATTTATTTGTTTATTGGGAGTTGAGCACAGCTTGCTGCTTTTCTCAATATTTTATTGTATTTTTCTGGTATAATTACAGGTCAATGGAAGTCTGACGAGCCACCATCGCTGTTTGTTTTCATCAATTGTAGTACGCAGGATCTCTCTGTCATTGAGAAGTATGTGGTACGGTCTCATCCCATTGGTCAGTTTTCTTTCTTGAGTTATGCTGGTGCCATCATCTAGTGTACTCAAGTACATTCATACCATCATATTTGGTAGTTGTAGCCAATTCAAATGTTACTGTCCAGATGAACTGTATAAGGGAAAATGTTTTGTTGGGTTTTTCCTTTCCTGAGCAGCTTGGACATCTTGTATTGCATCCTAGGTTGCAGGTAGCATCCATGTTAACAATGAGAAAGGAATCAAATTTAATTATACAGGACTAATTTGGCATATTCGATAAGACAGAGTAGCACTGAGCAAATTAGGTGACACCATGAAGATTCCAACTAATCTCAATTTTTAAAATTCTTTTCCAATGCGCGTTCAGAATTTAAAACCCATCCATTGTGTTACTTTAAGTCAAATTGTCCTCTGCCATCAACTTTATGAGGTGGGCTATCAATTGTACGTGCAGGAAATGTTTGCTGCATCTACGCCAGCTCTTCTTTTCAATTTGGAACTGGACACCTTGCGGTATGCTTGGTTACAAGTATCTAATTCCAGATGGATGCATACTGTGGCCCTTCAGAAATGCCTTCAATCCTATGAACTACATGCATCTTTTTTTGCAGAGCTGACTTGGGCCTTTTAGGTTTCCCCACCAAGGATTTGCATTACAGATTCCTTTCTCATTTCATCCCTGTATTCTATATTCGAATTAGAGATTACTCAAAGGTAACCATACTTAATATCATGGGTTTTCTACTGATGAGTTATATGATAGTATTGATTTGGTTCAATTTGTCAAATAAAAATTTTGTTTTCTGTTTGAAGACAGTTGCAGTTGCACCTTACGTTTTAAACTATAGCGGTGCCTTGTTTCGCCAATATCCAGGTATGGATGCACATGTTGGTGAAATTGACTTGCTGGCCTGCATTTGCTAAACATCAGATAATTTATTGTTGCACTGTATCATATTTGTAAATTCCCAGCTGGCACTTGCATGTGAAAATATTATGCAATGACATTATTCTTTATAGCATGATTATGATTTTATCTGATATTTCTGGTCAATGATCTCAGAATCAACCAAGAAATAACGCTTGTGATCATGGGGTTCTTTAAATTATGATGTGGGGCTTTCTCTAGAAGCTCTCATTATGTATTTCATGTTACATAAAAAACTTAAAAAATTTATAAGCTTGAGAGATGAGCTCGCTATTCTTTTCATTGGACTTTTAACTGTATGTTGGAGATTTAGGGTTTGGGAGTACGAAGGAAATTTCTTGTTTCCAAAAGAGTTAATTCCGAACCACATACAAGGACAGTCCCATCTCCAGTTCTGTACTTACTAAGAAATTACAAGGTATCTCCTTGGAGATGGATCAAGACATAACCATCAAATACCCTATTAAACATCATGACAGCACATAATACCTGTCGATTTCATTCCTTTATGCTATGGATTAGCCTGATGCTTATTTGAAATACTGGTTATTATGCCTTAAGAATTAAATCGGTGTCAATCAGTAAACCCAGCACCTCCCCCATGTCCGTTTATGAAACTGGTGCTGTTACAATTATTGCCATGAAATTTTTCTGAAATTGTGATGTAAATGCTAAAAGAACGATGAAGTGAGGGAGGGAGGTTTAAAAGATGCCTGCTTCTAATATTCATTTGCTTTAATTGGCCTAGGGCCTTGGCAGGTAATGCTAAAACAAGCTGATGGCTCTTTTATTTGTATTGCTGAAAGTTCAGAACGGTTCACATTGGGTGAGGTATTACTTCTGGCCTCACTACATAAAATATTCAGTTGTATTCCTTTATCATGTCTTGCTCATTAGAGTATGTCATATCTTTTAGACAAAGGAAGAACTTTTGAGAGTTCTAGGACTGAAAGAAGAGGAAGGAAGCTCCCTGGAATTTCTGAGAAGAGGCTATAAGGTCAGAATGAACTCAAATTTCCCTTGGCTTCTGTTTCTGATCTTAGTACTTAGTGCTACTATACTGATTCTACTTTTACCTGCCACTTCTACGAGTACTAATTCTGCTGGTAAATTTTTGTAAATTTCATTATGTCGCTCTTCCCATCTCATAGAAACAATCTGTTTCCCACAATGGATGCTTGATTCATATTAATTAGATCAATTTTTCTGTTAGTGTTTTTCGACAAGAGAATAGAATAATAACCTTTGTTCCCTATATTTCAAGAAGTTCTTAAGTTCAGAAGATCTTCTTGCCACAAACAAAAAATTTCAACAAAATATAAGCAAGCTTACTAGCTTCATCTTACCTAGTTCCCAGCTTGATGAATGTGCTACTGATCAGGGAAAAATTACTGAATCTACTAACAACTTACGGGTATGAACTACCATGGCCTCTGCTTGTTAGTTTAGTGGTTTGGACGTCTTTGTTGATTCCTTAGGATTTGGGTTCAAATCATTTGTTAACCCTTGACAAGGGGACTGTAATCCATAGCCTTAAATGGAGCTCATAATCAACTATTAGGATAGTTGGACTCTTTACCCTACCCTGAGAAACCCATTTGCCAGAATATAATTATTTTCAAAGACCACTTGATACTTAAACACTGATTCAAATGCTTCCCCCCCCTCCCCATTTTTTCTCCAATTTTAATGAACTGTGATAATTTAATAAAGGAACAACCTGTATTATATGTTAACCAAAGTACCCTACCATGCATATTGGTTTGTGATGTGGCGTTGCAGACTGCAACTTGGTGGGAAGAAGACAACAATCTTGAGATTTCTTCTGCCTGGAGAAGTTGAGCCACCTGAGCTAATTGTTGAAACTAATGGAGATGAGAGATATCATTATTCTATCAGTTTCCACAGGTAATTTTGATAATTAGTTTTTGTAGGTGATCTCCAATTTTTTTGTCCTTTCAGTTGTAAACAGAGGGTGTAAATTGTGATTATTTTCTCCTCAATCAAGTGTATTGGCATCTTTCATGCCACTGTGTTCCAAAATTTTGATGTGGGGAAAATGAATACTCATTGTAAAACAATAATATTACAAGTTAATGGAGAGAGTTGCCATTCTTGTAACTGTCAAAGTGCAGGTTTTCGGCATGGTATATTGTTAGTTTCTTTAAAAATAAAGTTTATGAAAATTTTCAATATCATTAATCACAATTTGCTGCTGTGCATTCTGGAGTCCAGCTGGCCTTACGAATGATATCTTTAAGTCTCCTAAAAACTTCACTACAAAAAAAACGACAGAAGAACAGAGGTAGCTTCCTAAACTAGGCGCTAAATAGGAAAGAAGATTAAAAAAATGAATAAATATATTAATAAAATGGACATTCTGATGACGAACAATCTAGACAGATTGGGAAAGATAAAGAAAAATGTGTCCTATGGTATTCATGTTTCAAATAAAGCACATGTTCACATAGAAACTTTCCAAAGGTGCTTGCTGTTGTTGCAAGATTACCTTTCAAGGGTTAATGCCTGTAGTTCATCCAAAGGCGCCTTGTTTTTTGTTGGTAACTGAAATCTATTGAGGACAAATTGATGTGTCAAATCTATATTGTCCAAGTAAAATGGACAGAATAGAGTAAGACAACCTTATTTCTACAAAAAAAGTTGCAACCTTACACAAATCGCATCCTATCATTTTCTTTACAAAGTGAGCCTGTGTGCGCTAGACCCTATGCTGTAAACCTCTTATACATTAAATAAAAAAAATAAAAAAATCAACTGAATGGTCAATCTTAGATACACCTCCTCTGGCCAATGCATCCACTTCCACATTGGACTATCTATAAGCATGGTTAAATGATACCTGTAGTCCCTTGGTGTGTGAATCTCATCAAACACTATCTGGAGATGCCATTGGCATGTTTTCTCCCCTTGGTCCAACTAATTACATTATTGGAGTCATCCTCAATGATAATCTTTGGCCATTTTTTATAAGTGTTTCTTACCCACAGAGAAGGAAACAGACCTCTATCTCACTTCCCGAGTATGTCAATAGAACTTTGCCAAAGTGATATTGCAAATCCCCCATCCTGAGGAGGACGGCCTCACAAGCAAGTTCTAACCAATCCCGGTGCCTTTGCTTTATCAATATCCTTCTACTGATTCACAAAATCTGACAAACCCGAGAAATATCTTCTCACAATGGCCCCTGCTAGGACCGAAGCACATAAATGGAACTTTGCTGAAGTGATCTCCCAAAAATTCTCCCACCACTGCAGGCCCGGGATTCAACTACAGTGAGCCCTAAGGAGGAGGGCTCTGCAAGCAAGTCCTAATCACCCTGGATACCTTTGCTTTATGGTTTGATTAATGTGAATCAAAATTAAGTAACAAACGCGAACCGAGAGAGAGAAAGAGAGAGCAAAACTGAGGAACATATGTAGAGAGGGAGAGGGGGGAGGGGAGGGGGAGGGGGAGTCCCCGCACACTAGCACAGATCATATGTTGAGAGGGAGAGGGGATGGAGGAGTCCCCTCACATTAGCACGCTAAATAAGCAGAGAGAGAGAGAGAGAGAGAGAAACTCAAGCACATATGCAGAGAGGAAGAGAAGAAGGGATTAGGAGGGGTGTCCCCAAACACTAGCACACTAAATAAGCTGCAAAACAAGATGAGCAGCTCTCACACACTTGAACAAAAAAGGTACTTCATAGAGAGAAGGCAATTTCTCCCACACTAGTACAAAAAAGAAGCTTCAAGTGCAGCTGAACTTAAATAGTGGCTCCCTATCCACATCCATTCAACATGTTTTATTATAACTATATACTAAAGACTACATCAGGAAAACTGAGCGATGAAGTTATCATGAACCAATGTAAAATGATAAACAATTATGAACATGATTTCAAACACTAAATCAATGATATCAATTCAGATACAGATCAAGAGCTTGAATGGAAAAAGCCAAAAGAAATGACGCCTCAAGGATATCAACAAATGCAGCCTCAAGTTGCTGCCAATACATGAATTTTTTATATTAATAAGCCCAATCAACACAATACATTTCTCATCAACAAATGACGGTTACGATAGCAACAGATTTGTCAACTACCTCCACCCCCAAAACGAATGACTGAATTGAACAGAGTTAGGGTTGGGCATCTTGGCTTCATGATTAGGACGTAGGGCCCATAGCATCCAAGGTTCCAATTGACACCCCACCCCCACCCAAAAAAAAAAAAGAAGAAAAAGACAGTCGAGGAGCAACAGAAAAATGGGAAGCCACGAGTAATTTACAAAGGCAACACCACCAATGATTTAGTCCAACACGAATGGGCATCCAAATCCAGTGCAACATGCTTTCTAGTGATACGGCTCCACTTCATTGTCGAATCCGAAACATCACATGAAGTTAGGAAATCAAGTACTTGCCCAAATATTTTGAACATTTCGACCCCATATATTCGACCATTGTCTGCAACAAATTCAGCTTCCTGGTCCATAGGAGCATCAGGGTGTCTCGAGACCTCTCTCCAAGTATGCAGACCAACATCTAACTCCCATAATATCCTTGTAGCTTTATTGTCCTCTCTATTAACATGACCATCCCTTTCACACCATGAGACACACAGCATGAACAGTCGATCACAACAAGAAACAAGTTTGGGGAGATATCTATGGATATGGAGAGGGGAATGAGCAGTTTGAATGCCAATCCAAACACCTCTTTCCAAATCATAAGCTGCAAGCTTATCGGATTCAGAATAAACATAAAACCTTCTGTTACAAACAGCACCTGTACAAACAGCTCCAAAATCAGCAGGCAATCTTTCAATTTCCACCCACCTATTAGACAATGAATCATAAATTTCTCCTGAAACCAAGGGCTCATCCCATAAACCCCGGCCACCAACTACAATCAAGAAAAACCTTCTTGCCTTTACATTGCCATTTTCAAAATTATGAGAAGTAGATGAACAAGACGGTTGTCCTCTAGACTCCAATGGAGGGTCGGTTTCAGAAATGGCATCCCCGACATGGCGCCTTTGCGAGAACTTGTGTGGATCATCATAAACTTCAGATACACGCCTCATCCGTGACCTAGAATTGCAAAGTTGGCTTGCCCCTCCCCTTGAATTAGAGCTCCATCGCTTCATCAGTACCCCATGATTCAAATCATAAGCCTCAAAAACCCCTAAAGAAGGTGTCGATCTTGCATTGTGCATTGAGGCTGCCTTGCTCCAAGACCTACTTAGAGGGTTGAAAACAACCACTTCTCTATGCTTCCTATAACCGAAGCCCTCGACTTGGCCAGAGTTACTTATATTGGAGCACCCACCCACAATATAAACCGAGGTTCCAACACTAATAACAGAGAACAAGAACCTTCCCTTCAAGCACTCCGCTTCAATTTTATGCCACTTATCAGCTGTCACATCCAAAGCTCGGACTTGCCCCACACATAATCCATTCTTCACAGCACCAAACAGAAAAATCCATGGAGTTTGAAACTTAAAATCTTGCCTCATTTGCATGAAATGAGATGTGCTTGCCAATAAATTCCATCTTTTGCAGACCAATCGAGCATTCATTATGGTGGTCAAAGAGGCCCTTGCCAAGCACATTTGGAGTATATCATCAGAAAGCATAGCAACCCGATTCTCACATGAAGGTGAAGAAAGATCATTCGAAGAATCCAACCTTCTATCCTCAATTGCCTTTCTACTATTTCTCCTCCAAAACCTCTCCGCTCCACCATAAGAAAAGCAATCAACTCTACTCCACTGGTCCTCTGAGCTTGAGCAAACACCACCCAATCTCCCAAAACCCGTGTCCAAAGAAACACAACCATAGCCTCCTTCTCCTGCACTTGAATTCCTCCTAAAAGTGGAATCCCCAAACAATGCGATCCCATCAAATGTATCAGCACCCACTCTACACCCACCTCCTCTCCCATAGAAACCAAGGCACCCAGAATTTGAATTCCTTTTCTCTTTTTCTTGTTCTTCTCTGTTAGAGCTTCGACCTATCTTTTTGAGCTTGTGGCTAAGGCTTCGTATGAGCCGCTTTGACATGCTTGAGGATTCGATTTCGGGTTCCATTTCTCCATGAAGCATTTCTCGTAATGGCAATACTCCAGGCCCTCCCTCCACTGATGCTTCCCTTCTTTCACCTGCCTCCGCACAGAGCAATGCAACCCTATTGCATTCTCTGCTCAGATGACACGTAGCCGCCATCTAATAAAGAACCCTATTCCCCATCAATCAAAGATCTCCATCTAAAGCCTCATTCTTTGTTAAACGCTGCAAGAAATAGAAACATATCAGCATGTTGTAGAGCTAATAAAAGAAAAAAAAGGGCTGTCTAGAACAAAGTAATTGAAGAAATTCACTAGTTTCAGCAAAATCAAGTCTTGCCCGCAGATAAAGTAAAATCGATAATGAAGCTCCTTAACAAACCGGGAACTGTTATCAATCAAAGAATTGAAGAGCATTACTGTTTTAAGTAAATTCAACTCCCACCCAAAACTACAGACAATTCCTATTAAAGTGCCAACTTCACCTCCCATTCATGTCAGTTGATGAAATGCATCACTAGATTGATCAGTGAAGCATGGACTAAAGGGCATGTAATGAAACTGATGAAACCGATAAACAAGTATAAGGTTTTATTTTTCACTCTTTCTTGGCAGTCTATACTGAAGTTTTTTAATCCCAATAAGAATGGATCAAAATGCAGGCATCCTAACAAGTAGCATTGAGCATGGATTCTTATTTCAAGCTTAGTTTTTATGGACACAAACTTAAAATCCTGAACATTTTTTATACTATTTGAGTGCTTACTGGAACAGAAGCTTCGGTACGTTGCAACCTTCTGATTTGATAGAATTCCAGTGAAAAATCACCACAGACAATAACCTAATTATTGTACTCACCCAAAAAAAACCGAAGCAGAACACAGACGATAACCTAATTATTGTACTCACTCAAAACAAAATGAAACAGAACACAGACGATTACCTAATTATTGTACTCGCCCAAAAAAAAACGAAATAGAACACAGACGATAACCTAATTATTGTACTCACCCAAAAAAAAAGAAACGAAATTACTACTAGAACTTAAAATGCAGAAAAATGTCCATGAAACCCCAAATCAAAGCCGAACACTAAAGCCTTAAAAATAAAGGTAAGGAATCTCCTTTTTAGCAAAAGGCAAAAGGAGAGGGAGGTGCGACAAGATCCACTACACAAGTGTTAGAAAAAGTAAATCTAAGCAAAATGCATAAATTGCAAAGCCCCTTTCAGATACTTACAATTCACCATCTTCATTATCCAATAATACAGTCATAAGCCTCTTTAAACAGACACATTAGGCAAAGAATTACTCCTTAGAACCAAATTGTGGTTGTTAGGAAACAAATAAGAAATGCAGGGGAAATCTCTCTCTCTCTCTCTCTCTCTCTCTCTCTCTCTCTCTCTCTCTATCTATCTATCTATCTAAAGAGAGCATCTATCTCCTTTCAATAACCAAAAGCAATGAACAAAAAAGGGGATCCAATATGAAAGCTAGGTCCACATTCTACGAAGAAAGCTTCTAGATCCAGAGCTCCATATCATAAAAGGAGAAGCTAAAGCAAATGCAGTGGAAAAAGTGAAGAACATGAATTAATTCCTGACAAAAGAGAAACCACAAGAGCAGAAGCTAAAGCAAATGCAATGGGAAATAGCAATGAACGAGCACGAATTCATGAAAAAGAGAAACCAAAAAACCAGAAGCCAATGCAAATGCAATGGGAAATAGCACAAATTAGCCACTAAAAGAGAGACGACGAATTCATCACAGGAGAGAGAGAGAGAGACAGAGAGAGAGAGAGGGAGAGAGAGAGATTACCTGGAATAGTGATGGTGGATGAGAAGAGGTTGAAAGAATCTGACTGAGAGAGAGAAATTAGGGTTAGGGTTGGTTGATTTTCATTGAGAGCAGAGTTTGAAAAAGAGGATTCGAATTGCGTGAAGTTTTGTAAGTTTTATCTCTCTACTTCTCTGAAATGAGGTGAGGTCACCGAAAGAGCCGCCATTTTCGGACGTCGAATTTGTTGGGTCGAGTGGACTTTTCATTTTTCACTTTTCACTGTCATTCTCTCGCACGCTTCGGGAAACGGTTTCCTGCAACTGCGAAATCATGTGGTTAATATTTCGTATTTCGCTGGAAAAACCGAAATTTTGGATTTGGATGTTGAAAATTGGGATGAAAGGTTGAGGGACAAAAAAATTAAGGAAAATATTATCCACAAGGGAAAAGTATGATACCAAAAAAAAAAAAAAAAGTTATGGGCAACTCCCCTAAAAAGCTTTATTTTGTGACCTCCATGTCCAACTGAAAAATGACCAAACAACCTCTTAAAAAATACGCAAATAAATAAGTAGAAAAACTTTATATAAGGTTGCAATCTTATATGTAACAATAAAAGAATTGTTGTAATCTATACCCTCGTCTATTTTATTTTAAAGGGAAACGTTTATATAGAGTTGAGGCTCTAAACAATCAAATTAGAGCCTACCTCAAAAATTTCACTAGAAGAGGTTGTTTTGATGCTCAAATATCCTCAAATTGATCATCTCAACATCAAGATGTATGGACATGAGAAAAAAATGGATATCAAGTTTTGGAAACAGCGTATTTTGGAACGTATTTTTGGACCGTCAATTTTCAAGATTTTCAAGTTTTCATAGATATATTGATCTACACTATTTTTAAAACTTTAAATTTTATAAATAAAAAATGAAAATATATTCTAAAGCTATCACAAAAATTTCAATATTGAAATCACATTTCTCGATACTATTTGAAGGTGAGCTCCATACAAACCACACCCTTTATATTTTATATGCCTTATTTGATGTGTATGTAGATTTATATTAAAATGTGGCAGTTGAGAGATGGACCCAAGGAACGAGTGGCACTTAGAAGTAAGTTATGTCCAATTTGACCGTCCTAAACATATGTGATCCTTGAAGAGCGCATCAAGGCCTCGAGTCCCTAAATAACTTCAACATTTTCTTCAACTTCTACGCCCAGTCCCTTCCAAATTTTCTAATATGTTTGGACTTTCAACTTTCAATCAGGAGTCGATTTTTGCCAAAAAAAAAAATACAGCAAAAAATTTGCATTATAAACTTGACCAATTTTTTTTTTGTTTACACACATATCTCCTGTAATTATAGGTAGTCCGCTCTTTGCACTACACTAAACCTAAGGGCACAACCCTACTATCGAAAAAAACCAAAAAATAAAAAATAATTTTTGGATGATATTCTCAAACCTAAGGGCCATATGAAAAAAAGTAAAATATCACAGGGACACCGACCGTCTCCATAATTTTTTTACTTAATTAGACCCATTTTGTATTTTATACACTTTTTTCATGTATGTATGTAAAATTCTCTTATTTCAATAATACTAACAAAAAAAAAAAGAAAGAAAGCATAAACATATTCTACTCTCGTGAGAGGAGTTCGTCTATTTACTCCGTTAGATAAAACCCCACTTAGAATTAATGTTAAGACCTCAAATTTGTTGGATGTAACCTCTTCAATCCATAGATTAACTTCAATAATAATAATAATAATAATAATAATAATAATAATAATAGAACATGGTTTGCTTGCGGCCCACATATAAAAATGCGGGCTTAGCAATAAATATATATTTAAATATAATGTGATCTTAATTTTTAGAAAAATGGCTTTGCTAAGAATACAAAAAATAACATAGAACCTTATTTTCTAATCACAAGAGGATTTTGCGTTTGGATTATGAAATTTTCAAGCATTGAAATTTGTTTTCTAATAAAACAGATAACCAAAAAGGTTTATTTTGGAAATATAGAAAGGAAAATTGTTTCATGTGGGCTGGACCGCATTTCTACATACACGGTCCAAAAAGTGTAAAGCATCCATCTTAAAGATAAATACAAGTAGGTGTTCCATCTAAAAAACAATAGAAACTAATGGTCCAAATGTTTTCTTACTAAAATTATTACTTCTAATTTTTTAAATTATTTATTTTTCATATTCATGACCTCCATGTTAGAGATTGTCCTAAAAAATTAAGTCCTAAAATCCATTTCAAGAATGGATTTATTAAGAGGCCCGTATTTCTACAAATGCAGGCGCGTAGAAATAATCGCATAGGAGGTCCCTTGTACATTGGGGTATTTGAGCTGCACCCGACCGTTGACTCGATATTGCATCGGTGATAACGTAGTTAATAGCAGCTGGATGGTTGGTAATGGTTAGTGGATTAACTGCCGCTCTACCACAGTTTTACATTTGCACAGGGTTTAATCTAGATTGACGGCCACTGATCTAGATTGACTGAATTGCGAATATTACAAAACCCAAAATTAATAATAAACCAAAAATATAAAAACAAAGACTTTTTAACAAAAAAAAAAGCCTTGTTAAAGTTTATTTTTAAGATACCAGACTTCTTGGCAATTTATTTTGGAAAAATATATAAAGAGACTATCTCAACCACTGTTGTTTATCAGATTTCACATGTGGTGATTATAAGAGTGTAATTTACTAGACTCAAACTTTAAAAAATATTTTTTGAATTTTTTGTTATACCCTAAGCCATCTAATTTTGCATCTATGGTTAGGAGTAATTGTGACATTTTTGTAACAAAAATAAATGGCCTCATCTTCTAAAATTCATGTCCTTTCGTAGTGGCGGCAAATGAACCGTTTTTTCTCCTTTTAAAAAACATATTCTTAGGGCCTCAGTTTTCTTGATTTGTTAATTTTTTCCATGGTTTGTTCCCTTCCCTTTGTGTCTCTCCAAAAACCCTATTCTTTAAGCTCTTTTCTCTGTCACTTTCTTTTTTTTTAGAAATCCAACTCTATTCTTGTCTTTCATATTCTATTATTGAACTTGAAATCAAAGAAGAAAAAGATAGAAAGATTAAAGGAAAAGATAAATTAGCGAAGATAGAAAAATCACATTCTTTGGGTTTCTAAAAGAATGATAGACTTTTTTCTTCTCTTTTGGTTTCTCTCTTCTTTTTTAAATTTTAGAAATAGAATATTGTGAGCAAAAAATTTTTTTGAAGTATTTTAAAGAGAGAATGTAAGAGGAAGGAAGAACGGACTCGGTTTCGGCGAGGAAATGTAAGGGGATAAAAGTTTGGGTTGTTTTTGGAGAGAGAATGTGGGGATGAACGAATGGGTTGGGTTGGTAGAGAAACAATATGGAGGCGGGAAACAAAGGACGTGCAAAAAAAAAAAAATTAAATAAAAATAAATAAAATAATAAAAAAAAAAGAGAGGAAGTAAGAGTAGAGAAGGCTTCTTTTTTTTTTTGGTTTTTTCTTAATGAAGGCCAAATCAATCCATTTACCCCTCTGTAAAAAGTGGGTGGGTTAATGTCAAAAATAAATTCTGATGAGGTTGAATTTTTTTTTTAAAGATACTATTAGAAGGCTTTTCTCTTAATATGTTTTTGGTAACCTAAAGCTTGCGGAATTAGAAATCCCAAATATCGGGATCCCAATAAAAATCGTGTATATGATTGGTTAAATGCAAAGTTGATGAATACAATTATAAATTGAATGCATAAATAAAACAAACATAAAAATGACACCATCACAACACATGATTTACGTGGTTCACCCCATAGGCCTATATCCACGGCCTCAGTAAGTAGAAATCTATTATCTCAATAAAAAAAACCCTCACCGATCTTCCCTTCCCAACCCATTCTCTCGATTGAGCAACACTGTTGATCATCTTCTTTCCCACCACAATACCGCTACAAGAAAGACAACTTCAACGATAAACTTTCTCTCTCTAGAAGTAGAAACAAATAAACCAAAAACTCCATAAAATACTGCCTCTCTCTTGAAAACTCATTTTTTCCTTTGGATATCCATTCCCATAACCCCCAAATGGGTGACCCTAAAAAACATGGTATTATGTCTTCCCTGGTTCTCTTTTATAGAGATCACCTTAAGCTTATTTATCGCTCCCCAAGAAACCCCTTATCTTTTTACTATAATACCTTTAATTTTTTTAGTGAAAACATAATTCTGATGATTTTCACTATCACCAAACATAATAGAAACGATGAATAACAATAGACAAAAATTAAAAGAATGGGGCTTGAGGGGGACTGGTCTCAAATGATTTCATATCTGGATCAATATTTTTTCCCATCCAAAACATTGGGTTTCTAATTACGAGGCATGTAGTACAATTGTTGGGAACGCATAAGCAGTTATGAATGGTGTTGATCTCTTTGGGTGGAAGACGGAGTCACCTTCCCTTCATAAAGAAAGTAGTAGGAGGAGAAATTTGCCTATACCTATAATAGAGCTATAACTATTGCTCGAGGGAACTCCACGAACCTCTATGTGGTCAAATTCAAGAGGGCTCTGACTCAAAGCACTTCGTTTTGCTTGAAGTGAAAAAAATTTCTCATATGGTTAGGTACGAGAATATTTTCACCAATTGATCCCAATGTCTTTTTTAGCACAAATTGACTAGAGTACTAAATGCTACGAAAATATTCAACAAAAAATATCTCCGTAGACTCTATTTTTATGTTTTATTTCTCTATAGGCTCAAGGTTTCAAAACCTATCGTGAGACATAAAATTTTTATTTATTATATCTCCTATTCTTTTAGATCATCAACTTTTACTCATTTTCAACATATATTTTTAACCTAAACAAATTAACAAGGGCTTCATTTCTAAACCATCCCTATCCCTCTCTCGCTCCACGTGTTTCTCTTCTTTCTCCTGATGAATCTCCCAAGGCCCTGTGTGTCCTTACTTCCCCAAGTCTTTTTCTCTAC